GGAGAGGGATGAGTCCTGTGGGGGGGGGTCCTAGAGGGGGGTGGGATGGGTCCTATAGGGAGTTCTATAGGGAGACAGGATGAGTCTTACGGGGAGATGGACAAGTCCTATAGGGAGCCAAGACGAGTCCTATAGGAAGATAGGAATGAGTCCTATAGGGAGATAGGGTGAGGCCTATGGGGAGATAGGATGCGTCCTATAGGCAGCTGGGATGAGGCCTATGGGAGAAGATTGTCTTATAGGGATTCCTATAGGGAGCCGGGAGGACTCCTGTGAGGAGCTGGGATGAGTGCTCTAGGGCACCCTACAGAGACGCAGGACAAGTCCTGCGTGGAGCCAGGATGAGACCGGTGTGGGACGGGCCGAGCCCCCGAGGGCTGTGCGGTGCTGAGGCCCAGGGCTGGCCCCGAGGGCACAGGGGCCCCGCTGAGGGCCCGCTGCCCCACAGAGGAGTTCTCCAAGATGAAGGAGGAGGTGCCCACGGCCTTGGTGGAGGCCCACGTCCGCAAGGTGGAGGAGGCGGCCAAGGTGACGGGCAAGGCCGACCCCGCGTTCGGGCTGGAGAGCAGCGGCATCGCTGGCACCACCTCCGACGAGCCGGAGCGGATAGGTGAGGAGGGATCCGTGTGATGAGTTTGCCAGGCCTGGGGCAGGCAGCAGTGGGGCCTGACCCTGCGCTTGCATCCCCAGAGGAGAGCGGTGCGGAGGAGGCGCGGGCGGAGGCGCAGCCGGCGGAGGAGAAGAAGGAGGCGAAGGTAGTGGCTGGCGCAGGGAGGGGGCGCGGGGGCCTGGCGAGGGCGGCTGGTGCCGGGACTCGAGCGAGTGCGGGGCCGGTGCCTCCCCAGGAGCCCCGGGACGGCGCCGCTGAGGAGGAGGCGAAGGAGAAGCCCGGGGAGGCGCCCAAGAAGGAGGAGGAGAAGGGGAAGGAGGTGGAGGGCGAGAAGGAGCCCGACAAGGGTGATGGCGATGGCACAGGTGAGTGGGGGGGCCCAGCTGGGCTGGGGGGGACGCTGAGCCCCCCCCACGGCCCTGCCCTGCCGACGCGGCCCCCGCCCCGCCGC